ACAGCAAGTGGTTCTGGCAGATTCTGGCAAGCAGTCCTTTGAGGTCATTACAATTTTATAGGTATCTTGATTAACTGATATCAACTAATAGCAGCTATTACTCTGAAATGGAAATGATTAAAAAGTCAGAGAGAAATTCTGACTTAAATGACAGCCTCACATGCTCTACTTTGTTGACATAGAGATGACTGCTTTGAGCAGTTATGTTGACTAGGGGTGAGAATGTCTGTGTGTCCATGGAGAGCTAGAAATCTTAAAGATATTTCAGTTCTGTAAATCCCAGGAAAACGTGATGTTTAGAATAAAAATTCTTTATTCCACTGAAGGGAAGAGTATAATGTAACCTCAGCCTTCGTGGGAAATCAAGGAAGCCATGTGAGCCATCAAACTTAGGACGCAGCCCTGCAGGATAGGAGGCTTCATTAGTTTTGCTCCCCCAGAAACTGATTGTCTTGGTCTGGAGTCACGTTTACCTAAAACAAAACTTGTTATTACTGTGGAAAAAGCCCACAGAAGTGGCACAAAAACTGACCAGCTAATTTAGAAAACCTCGCTATAAATAATGCTGTCAAATGTGCATGCTAATATGGAAGGAAAGAAGGAAAATATTTTCTCTCTCCCTGCTGTGTATGTTCACAACTGGTTATTCACAAACAAGCCACAGATTTGAGAGTAAGTAATTTACAGTGAATAAATTCCTGGTCAATGGTGGTAAAAGGCATTCACTGCCACAAATCCTGTGCTGATGTTAAAGATGTTAACAAAAATTTTAATAAAATCTTAGGGAAAAAATGTGTTGAAGAAGATCTAGAGGTCAGCTGGAAAAGAAATGTTGTCTAGTCCAACCTTCTCAGAGCAGGAGTGACTTCCTGGTTAGGTGAGGTTGCTCATGGCTTATCCAATTTAATTCAAAAGATCTCAGAAGTTGGAGGTAAGTCTCTTTAAGTATCTACTGTAATGATTAAACACTTATTTCTTCTCCAGGGCATTTTTCTGCAGACTTTTTTTTGCAGAACTGCTACCTACTCATTCAGTCCTTAGCCTGTACTCCTCTGTGGAGCTGCTGTAACCTTTCCACCTGCATTTGAATTCTCAGATTTCTCCGGTTTTTCTGTCTTATGAGATCTCTTTGGATATACACAAAATGTTTCCATCCACAATCAATTTGGCATCATACACAAAAAATGCAGGTAATTTACATGTCACCACGCTGGTCATGGATGACACTGTTAGTTTTTAAACAAGTTCATTTTGCTCACTGGTTTCAACCCCAGTTAAACTCTGGGCTTTGAATGGAGATAGGCTGTAGGAGTAAGATATGAAATATCTCGTGAAATCTACCCTAGTCCCTATCTTTTGTTACTCATGCTTATTTGAAAACTGGTCACTGTTGTAAGGCATAACATGGTACAACTGTCTGGGGTCTTCACAAGATCTTTTCCTTTCACCCTTTTATCCAATAGCAGCACTGTATGTCATCTCAGAGCTTGTGTTCATAATGATAATGCAGATGTAGAATACAAAAATTAAGACATCCTCAAAACTTTTCAAGCTGAAGGCACAATACGCATGTATTACGTGAGATTATTCTTGCTAATTCTTTAATTGGTTGCTGAAGTTAGTATTTATGATACTGTGTTAGTGGAAAAAATTGCATGTCAGTATTCTGGAACAACAGTGATGTGTTTGTTAATGCTAGGCATTTACAGCTCTAGCTGTCCATAAATAAGCAACCATTCAGACTTGTTCAGTGTCAGGATGTAGTGGTCTCTAGCATTCAGGAGTCCGTGGGCAATCATATATTCAGCAAGTAATATCCACAAACCACAATTTTCATTTTATTTATGTATTTATTTTGTTTGCCAGCTTCAGTTTTAATTTTAGTTTCTTGGGACTGTGGGCAGTGGCTATTGGAGAATGTTGGTCTTAGATAACAATCATGGATAAATGCTTCTATATTAATTCAAAGCATATGTGCCTAATTTCTATGCCATTAAATGGCATTTACTTCCTAATTAGCCATATCTACCTGAATTTTTTTATCTTTTATAATTCACATATCAGTTTCCAGTGAAGCTTTTAACTAACTGGGATTTCTTACTGACTTGGTTTGAACAGTATTTAATTGAAATGCAGTTTGTGACAAGTCTTATCTTGGCTAACACTGAGGTGGGTTGTTTTGTTTTGTTGGTTTTTGTTTTTTTGTTGTTTTCTCATTGTTTTGATTTTAAGAGCTTGGTTTATTGGGGTACTTGGCAAAATTGTGTAGGAAAAAAACCCAAACACTTCCTTTCCCAGATAATCTGTAATACAAATGCATTAAATCTCTTGGAATTAGTGAAAAAGAATCTCTTTTGTGGTTAATTACTTATATGAGAGGTTTTATGTATTTTCAAATGCTGTTCTAAAAGTTTAAAAGAAAGGAAAAATGAACTTTTATTTAAACATTATTGGAAGTGAAGTCATCTTATTTCTACAACTATGCATTATGTGAACTCTACTGGTTACTTATAAGCCTAGAGATTTCACCTGAGCTATTGGATTCTGGGCACAAATTGACATGATGGTACACATGTAGAAGGGTCGACTTACAAATTCTAAGCCAGTTTACTTTGTGTCATTTAAAACATCTGTAAGAATATTAGACATTAACAAGAATGTAGATAGTTTTTACAACACAAGTCAGATGTTTATAAATGATGTTTGAAATAGCTCATTGGGCACCTCTTGGTATTGGTGACTTGCTACATTTGTAGTTTCTTTTATACTAAAATTGTATACTAAAATTCCAGCGATAAGAAGGAATTGAAATAAAAAGTGCTATATGTTAATGTGGTAAAGATACCACTACGAGAATTCTGTTGTAAGCAGTGCCAAATAGGAAATATAGTTCAGCTGGAGATACTACTATGGATCACTTTGTCATGTTGTCTTTCTTTGGTGGTGATGGTTGTTTTACCAACTGCTGTTTTCTTAAAACTGGTGCACCAAACTTTGACGTGATATCACACTGAGAAATGCACGTGGTACTACAGGGACTAATAAAATGATACTTACTAAATACTAGTTGCTGAGACACTGAAGTTCAGCAACAATTCCATTAGAATGTGAAGTGGAACTGTACCGTGACATGAGCATTACCACATCAAACATTATAGAATGATACACATGGGGTAGAAAGCTTTCTAAACTAACAACCATTTGTGTCTTTGAAATTTGGCTGTTATGATACATGGCATGCTGACAGAGCAGAGTGTGATAATGCCTCATAGACCCTTCTCAAGGCTTTTTCTTCTGATCTGCTACCCAACTACTTTACTCTTTTCCTACTGAAGCCAGTGCTAGCCAAAATTCTTGTATTTTCAGTTTTGTGGTATGGATAGACAGACAATGATGCATTGTCCTTTAGATATGTGTAGCTTTGTAGAAACTCATGCTAGCTGTAGGAGGTGATGGGCAGACAGGTTCGATTCGTAGTTTACTAAGTGGAAAACAGAGGATTTGGGATATTTATTTTCTTTTTATTAATTTTTTTCTCAAATGTTGCACTGGCTTAAATGTGAAATGCTAAATTTGCTTAAAGGTGTTGGAACTGTTTCAGTTTTGTCAAAGTAAAACATCATTTGACTGATTTATGGGGAGGAAGAGATGGTAGAGGAAGAAGAAGGGTCCTTCAGATTCTTTATTTTTGCCTTAAGGATGTGAACCTCTTGTTGAAACTGGTAAGAGTAGGTTTGCTTTACCAGGCACTGAACTGAGTTTTAATCACGCTTGGTTATCCAGCAATAGGATTTTCCAAGAGGTTGTCCTGTTATTCTGCAAAGGGAGTTCAGTTAATGCCAGTTACCTGTTTCTTGCTCATGTTGCCCAGTGTGCTCTATAAATCCCACAGGCAGGCCAGCTGTTTATCATCAAGCTGTCACAGAGAGCGCTATGGCCAGGACCCCACAGTGGGTACTAAACGTGTGATATTTTTGGTATGTACCAGCTTAGGCCTCTACGCACCTCATGAAACAGGCATCAAGTAAACAAATTAATTTATGGGGAGCAGTCAGAGGTGTGAGCAGAACTTGGGTTTCCCATCTGTAGAATTCCGCTGCCACAGTTTGGGAGGTGTCACTGAGGAAGGAGTTTCAGACCCAGTCCTATCATTTGTACTCTTACAGTGTCAGGGTGGTGCTTACACTAACTGCTCCACTAATGCTGCAGGATTTTTGGCTTTCATTTTTGTGTCACATCTACAGCTACTGCTGATATGTAGGCTGCATAGAAAAAAAGGTTAGCAATTCAGAAGTCTGGATAGTCTCATTTTTGGTGGGAATTTTTATTTTTATTTTTATTTTATTTTATTTTATTTTATTTTTTGTGTTGGTATGGAAAAGAATTCCTATTAAAGCAAGGTTGGTTGTATTTTCCTTTTAAAGAACAATGAAAGAATAAAAATGAAAATTGAAACAATTTCCCAACTTGTTCACCAGTCATTTCTCATAAAATATTCCTGAAGCTGTTTTAGCTTTCACAGTCATGTAACAATAGCATTTTTGTAGTCACTCCTTTTTAATCTGTTTGCACAAATGAAGCCTGGACAAAATGAAATAAATTCTTCACTTGTTCTGTTTGTGCATTTTTTACTTCTTTATTCTAAAGTAAAAATAAAAGAACTGTTTCTGAATGTAGCATTTATTAAGTAGTAATTAATCTAGGATAGAAGCCATTATGACATTCTTGCTTAAGAAAACAAACAAATAAACAAAAAAATCAGTATTCAGAGGATTCCTAAATGCCTTCTAAATTTCCTTCCAAGAGAAATTTAGATTAAGGCAAAATTATGTTTATTAGACAGTTTAAAAGGAGCTGTTTCCAGGGCTTGGAGAAAGGAAATTCAGCTTTCTCCCTTCTTTGAATGAAGCCCTCCTGCTCAAATTTCATCTCAGTATGATTTTCAGATGTCTTCACACGCTCATGGTCTGACACTCTTTCTCTCTGTCATTCTCTTTCAGTTTGTACTGTGAATCTATGCAGAATCCTACAAATCGTGTGAAACTAAGGTGAGTGGAATGTCATCTTTTTAGACTTCAGATAGCACTAATAATTGCACTGTTTTCCAAAGGCCATTGTTCAAACCAGCAGATGGTGCTATGCAGCATCTTATGAGTCCACATAATCAATTGGAGTATTTTCTGAACCAGAAAACTACTTAAAGTTTCTAGTGCAACTCCTGAGTTGAAACAAATGTTTGTGAAATTAAGCAGTGATTTCCTTTAGTCTGGGGGACTATTTTACTGGCTATGTTTTCAGTCTTTAGATGTTAGCACAGGCCGTGCATTGTTTTTCTTTTTTCCTGATAGAATCAGGGGTACCCAACTACACAGACAGCAACTGTAACTGTTCATATGACTTAGTAAAGGTTTGAATTTTCTTAGAGAGTAACAATAAAACGTTCATATAAGAGCTAAAATGGTTTAGAAGAGAGAGAAATTCTGGGAACTGTAAGTAAAACCAACAGCTAAGCCTGTTATTTATGGATTACAGATGAAGGGAGGTTTTTATTTTTTGATTTTCTTTCAACAGTGACCCTCACTGTATGAATAGTATAAAACAGCTGAAATGTTCAGTTACGTACTGCATAAAAACTGAGGTTCAAAAAAAGTGTTCAGCAAGGTAATACACTCCGGACATACATTTTAGTGATTCCATACCAGAAGGAGTTGCAATGTAGCTGTACATTCAGCTGTGACATTTAGTTATTTAGCAAAAGGGTTAAGTGAAAATTCTGATGCAAGAATCAAATATTGAGCACTTGAATTGTAAATAAGATTGTTCCAAGGTTTCAATTTGCTGTATTAGTCAGTGACAAGTACAACATTTTTAATGCATGCCATAAGATTAGTCTTCCCAAAGAAAACAAGCAACAGTCTGTGTGCATCTCCTGCAATTGGTTAGGGTTATATGTATGCAGCTTTGTTTCTGATAATGGATTCAAGTTCAACATAAATAAAAACAGTGTACATTAAGGAGGATAAATATCTAATTGCCATAATCTGCAATGGGAATTGAATGGCCATAAACATGCTAACTGTGGAAAACAATTCTTTAGAACAAGAAGTAGCTAGTTGGATGATTATTAGGAAAGTATATGTACTTCTTTTTGTCTATTAAGCCTTCAAAGATGCCATCTATGACTCTTAATATGCTTCTTTTGAAATTGGACAGTTTGAGCCTTTTAAATATGAGATGGGATTGTATTATGTGAGCTGCACGGAATTTGTTGTGCTGTACAAAAGTAGATCCTTTGTAGAATCTGAGATCAGTGGAGAGCAGTCCTATACAGCTAAACGTTTTGATACAATTTGAAATAGCTTTAATATGAGAGTTCAGGTTTATTTGAGAAATGATAGCGATTTTTTCTTAACATTTTAAAGTGGGAAATAATCTATTTAATATCAGTCTGCATTAACAAGGTATAAATTTTAAGTAACGTTTATAAGTACAGTTATCTAGGTATCTATCTAAGTAGTTAGAAAAAGAATGTGGCGTCTGGGCATTTGCTTTCAAAGCATGTGGTACAGGCCCAGGCAGAATTATGTTTCTGCAGAGCACTGCGATTACTGATACTTGTATCTAACAGAATTTAAATCTACCAGTATAGGATGAATTGTTTGTAGCTGAACATATTGCTTTAGAAAACTAGTAGGAAATGTGACTTTGATTTGAATAACACAGATTGCTTTCCCAAAAAGGTTTTTATTTTTATTTTTATTTTTTTAGATATCTGGATAATATGCTTGTATAGCTTCATTCACCTGTTTACTTATGTAAGAAACAAACAAAAAAACCCCAAATGACCGGTAGTCTTTCACTAATTATGAATTTTTTAAAGTTAACTTGTCTTGAAATATATGGCTTTCAATAAATATGCTGAGATATTGCTCTTCCTTAGATATAACTCAAAACATGTAATAGTTTGAAACTGACTGTGTTGTATATTCAAAAGGATAACAAGAATGTACTATTGATAAATTACAGAATACAAGTATGGATTTGAATAAGACAGATGCTGTCAATGATTAGATTTAGCATCTTCATGTCAGCTGGTAGTGTTACAGTTTTAATGCATCTTTAAGGAAGTCTGCCATTTAAACAGACACTAGGATTTGAAGCTTCTTGAACTTAATGTGAACTTACGTTATTCATCACAGGATTTAGCAGTTAAAAACTGCTAAAAATACTAACAACTGTGTTTAAGTTACTTCTGTCAACTGAGTTACGTTTCTGAATAATTAAGCACTGGATTAAAAAGGTAATGATGGGTATACCATGTTTGTGCTGTGAGATTAGTGGATTAAAAATTGTAGTTAGGAGCTAAGAATCAGTATCACATCTTCAAGATTATAGTACTGCAGACAAAAATCTATTTCTGATGTCCTAATTCAGGCCGATTTATAGGGCTTACTGTCCACATGACATTAAAATTGTTCATAGTGAGTATGAATTCTTGTGGAGATTTCACTGTATTTATATGCAAGAAATATGTTTTATTATTTCTTTTCAGAGAAACAAGGCAATTTTTTAGTATAACCTTTAAAACAGGAACATTTCAGAAATATGTGTTTTTAATGTGTAAATGTAAATGGTTATTTTCTGTGATTAAACTACGATCTAATTTCTTCATTTATTACCTATCTAATATCCTGAAACTGAAATGACTAAATCCCTTATCCTTGAACTCACTGCATTACTACACTTCATCTCACTTTGTCATTTAATTTGTATGGTTTCCAAATCGTGGTGATTATCATCTATTAGTACCCTTGGTGACAGAGGGCAGGACACTGTTGTATCAGAGTTAATAAAGCAGAAACACAAGCCTAATTACTATGGGAGGTAAGCCATGCTGGCAAGGTTTACCTTTCACATAAGGTTTACATGTGGTTAATACTTACAAATAAAACTTAGATAAACAAGGAAGATTTAATCCGAGTTAAATTATTATGTAAATGTGGTGCAAATGCTCTTAGAAGTAGCTTCTACCTCTGCAAATTTAGATTAAAAATTGTACACAGTGTGTACATGTAAGTTTAAGATTTATTCAAAATTTTTCTGTAGATAAGAATCTAAAAATACTTTATATTAAGTGTAATATTTTTTATTTTGCTTCCACTGACTTATCACTCATACATGGTGTTGGCCCAGGTTTCTTACAAATCATAGTGATTTTAAAGATGAAATGGTTTAATCAGATAATTCAAGTCTTGATGAATAATGCACATTTTAAAAGAGAAATAAATCTGACATCTGCAAATATAGGTGTGTTTAATTTACAGGATATTATATGTGCCTGGAAAGTTTTAAGTCATTGTCCGGGTGGTATTTATGACGACTCGTTCTGAAGTGATGAAGTCTTTATTAAATAAAAAGAAATACACATAACTTTTTATGCTATGAAATTGAAAAACATTATGGTGCTTTACATAAGACTTTATACGAAATGTTTTATTGATTGACTGTATGTCAATTTTAATTTAGGCTTTATGATTCAATCTGTGTCTATTTTTAATTTAAGTGGATTACATTCCGTAAAGATCCTTTTACTGTATTGACTTGGATGTACCATATTATTAGGTACTATGAGTTCAGCTTCTACAAATCTGTTAATACATAAAACCATAAGAAGCCTCTTATGTTCAAACCAGGTTAGAGTGAAGACATCAGATTAATATTTGATCATGTAGAAGTGCCCTTAATCAGATTTACTTATTTCTCAGAGTGTTTCTGCAATTATCATAATTGTTGTGCTAAATATGTTTGCCTTTATATCTGGCTTTGGGCATAATCTTCCCTCTTGAAACCCTTTCATTGTGGGACTCAGATTCCTGCACAAAACCCAATTAATATTAAGATGACAGTCCCTGATGAGTTTCCTGAGGAGCCAGCAGCTGAACAGACTCTGCAACGTTCTTAAGTACAGACTACTTGAATGATCAAGAGCATCTGAGGGAGACATACAATTCAATAATCCCTTTCTCAGGAAAGTCAAGAGTCCTGTGAGATAAGAGTGAAATCAAAGGAACACATCAGAAAGAAAATGACTGGTATAGTCTTGTAGTGTCTCTATTAAAATGCAAAAGTTATGGATTTTTTTAGGGGTGATGGGAACCTTTTCTGTTTTATTGATTTCTTTTTATAGTTTGATGATTTCTCTAAGATTATCTTAAAAGCTTAAAGAAAAAAGGCTTCATCAAAAGGTATTTCATGTGACAGGAGCATACATACTTCTTATTTCCATTATATTAACTAATACAGCACATTTCAGTCGTTCCTAATTTGTGAAACTTAAACTTGAGCACTTTATATCTGATGTTTGTTGTGTTTTTCATGCTGATGGTTACCCAAAAATGATAAATAGGCCATGTGTTAACTAATACTGTAAGAATGATTACCCGCAAATATGAAGCTGAAAAAAAAAAGTAATGCTGTATTTGGAGGGCTTTCTTGCAAGGTTAAGGCATCAAAATGGAAACTCCTGCACTTTTCTGATATCCTCTTCTGTGCTTTAATATCAGCGACTAAATTTAGTGTCTGATGGCAACATGCTAACCTATTGATTTGTAGTCAGAAATGGGTTTCCTGTCACTTTAAAAGGGAAGCACTAAGGGGCAGTAAAAACAAGCCTGTCTGTTCTAAATGGAGCTCTGATTCAGGCTCAGTGCAATACTTTTTGATTGAGAAAGTTCACTTTTTTAAAAAAAGATTCTACTGTTAGAATGAAACCGTTTCGAATTTTCCTTTACAGTATTGTACAAGTTTTGTGTGTTTAAATTACTTTTGAAACACTTCTTAACAAATATTTGTAATTAACAATTTTGCTGTTAATGATTGCATGGCTAAAGCTGGTATTTGTAGAGGTAAAAACACAAAACCAAGCAACTAAATGCTACTAAGTGTTCTTTCATGATAGCTTTAAAGCATCAAGAAAGTTTAAATGTCTGAAACTTTTTAGACAGCATGAATTATGAAGTGATTAAAAAACAATCTTTCTTTAAGGTTT